ACATAAAAATAGAATCTTGTAGCATTAATAACTTAAAGAGGTTGAAGAAGAAGCTGTATAGAAGTAGTTTATTTTTATTTTTGAGAGAGAGTCTCACTCTATCACCCAGGATGGAGTGCAGTGGCATAACCTGGCTCACTGTAACCTCCACTTCCCGGGTTCAAGCAATTCTCGTGCCTCAGCCTCCCAAGTCGCTGGGATTACAGGTGCGCACCACCACACCCGGCTAATTTTTGTATTTTTAGTAGAGATGAGGTTTCGTCATGTTGGCCAGGCTAGTCTTGAACTCCTGACCTCAGGTGATCCACCTGCCTCAGCCTCCCAAAGTGCTGGGATTATAGGCATAAGCCACCACGCCTGGCCTAGAAATACAGTTTCTATACGCTATGGAAGTTAAGCTAGTATAAATCCTTCTCAAATTCTTCTAAAAAACTAAAGAAGAGGAAACAATTTTTTTTCTTTTCTTTTTTTTGAGATGGAGTCTCACTCTGTCACCCAGGCTGGAGTGCAGTGGTGCAATCTCCGCTCACTGCAATCTCTGCCTCCCAGTTCATGTGATTCTCCTGCCTTGCCTCCTGAGTAGCTAGGATTACAGGTGCACCCTACCATGCCTGGCTAATTTTTGGATTTTTAGTAGATACGGAGTTTCACCATGTTGGCCAGGCCGGTAGAGGAAACAATTTTTAATTCATTCTATGAAGCCAGCATTGCCTTAACACCAAAGCCAGACAAGGACACCACAAGAGAAGCAAAATACAAACCATTATCACTTATGAACATGGATACAAAAATGCTCAAAAAATACCACCAGCACACCAAATTAAGCAGCAATCAAAGGATTATGCACGATGACAGAGCTGGATTTATTCCTGGAATACAAGCATGATTCAACATGTAAAAATGGATCATTGTAATACACCACGTTAAAAGAAGAAAGGACAAAAAAGCACATGATCATCTCATTTTCTGCAGAAAAATAATTTGACAAAATTCAACGCTCTTTTATGATAAGAACACTCAACAAACTAGGAATGGAAACTACCTCAATGTAATAAAGGCAATATATTTTAAAAAACCCACAATTAACATCGTACTTAATTATTACAGACTAAAAGCCTTTCTTCTAAGATCAGGAACAAGACATCCCTGTCTTGACCATTTCCATTCAACACTAATGGAAATCCTAGCCAGAGCAATTAGGCAAGAAAAGAAAAGGCACTGAAATTGGAGAGGATGAAGTCTCTGTTTGCAGACAACATGATCTTAATGCAGAAACCTCTAGAGATTCCACATTTCATATCCTCTGTAGGCTAGGTGTGGTGGCTTATTCCTGTAATCCCAGCACTGTGGAAGGCTGAGGCAGGCAGATCACGAGGTCAAGAGATTGAGACCATCCTGGCCAACGTGACGAAACCCTGTCTCTACTAAAAATACAAAAACTAGCACGGCGTGATTGTGCGTGTCTGTAGTCCAAGCTACTTGGGAGGCTGAGGCAGGACAATTGTTTGAGCCCAGAGGCGAGGTTGCAATGAGCCAAGATCTAGCCACTGCACTCCAGCCTGGGCAACAAAGCGAGACTCCATCTCAAAACAAACAAACAAACAAAACAAACAAATGAACAAAAACCTCTGTAAAAACTAATAAATTTAGCAAAGATGCAGGATATGAAACATGCAAAAATAAGTTGCATTTCTATACACTAAAAATGAACCAAGTGAAAAGGAAATTTAAAAAACAATTCTCATAGTGGCATTACAAAGAATAAAATATGTATGAATTAACCATGAAAGGGAAAAACCTATAAACTAAAAACTGCAAACATTGTTGAAAGAAATTATAGAAGACATAAATGAGAACACATTCCATGTTCATGAATTGGAATACTTATTGTAGTATTGTCAATACTACTCAAAGTGATCTACAGATTCAATGCAATGTTTATTGATATGGTTTGGATAATTGTCCCCTCCAAATCTCAAGCTGAAATGTAATCCCAATGTTGGAGGTGGGGCCTGGGGTGGGGCGGTATTTGGGTCATGAGGGCAGATCCCTCATGGCTTGGTACTGTCCTTGTGATAATGAGTTCTTTTGAGATCTGGTGGTTTCAAAGTACGTGGTACCTCCTCCTACTCTCACCATATGAGACACTGGCTCCTCCTTTGCCTTCAGCCATGATTTTAAGGTTCCTGAGGCCCTCACCAGAAAAAGATGCTGGAGCCATGCTGGCACAGTCTGCAGAACTGTGATCCAATTAAACTTATTTTCTTTATAAATTACCTAACCTTGGATATTTCTTTATAGTGACACAAGAATGGCTTAACAGACCTATCAAAATCCTACTGAAATTTCTGTAGAAATAGAAAAATCCATCCTAAAATTTATATGCAATCTCAAGGGACCCCAAATAGACAAACACTCTTGTAAAGAAATCAGAAGTCTTGGTTGGGTGTGGTGGCTCACGACTGTAATTCCAGCACTTTGGGAGGCTGTAAGAGGGTGGACTGCCTGAGCTTAGGAGTTCGAGACCAGCCTGGGCAACATGATGAAACCCTGTCTCTACTAAAATAACAAAAAATCAGCCAGGTGTGGCAGCATGTGCCTATAGTCCCAGCTACTTGGGAGGATGAGGTAGGAGAATCACTTGAACCTGGGAGGCAGAGGTTGCAGTGAGCTGAGATTGGGCCACTGCACTCCAGCATGGCGACAGAGTGAGACTCCATCTCAAAAAGAAAAAAGAGAAAAGAAATCAGAAGTCTCACATTTTCTGATTTCACAATTTACTACAGAGTGACAGTAATCAAAACAGTGTGGTACTGGCATAAAGGCAGACATATAGACCAAGGAAATAAAGTATAGAACCCAGAGATAGATCCATACTTATATGGTCAAATGGTTTCTAACAAGGGTGCCAACATCATTTAATGGGGAAAGGACAGTCTTTTCAACAAATGGTGCTACGGAAACTGCATATCTACATGTAAAAGAATGAAGTTGGACCTTAGCTAACACTAAATACAAAAATTAACATGAAATAGATCAAAGACTTAAATGTAGGAACTAAAACTATAAAACTCTTAGAGGAAAACACACAGGAAAAGCTTCAAGACATTGGACTTGGCAATGACTTTCTAGATCTGACATCAAAGGCATAGGCAACAAAAGAAATAGACGAATTGGGCTTCATAAAAAATTTAAAACTTCTGTGTAAAGTTCATTTGACTGAGTAAAATAACAATTCACAGAATAGGAGAGATTTGCAAACCACCTATTTAATAAGTAATTAACGTCCAGAAGATATGAATAACTCCTAAAGCTCAACAATAAAAGCAAACAACTCAATTAAAAAATGGGCATAGGACTTGAATAGATATTTCTCCAACAGTAATGTACAAATGGCCAATAAGCACATGAAAAGATGCTCAACATCACTAGTCTTTAGGGAAAGGTAAATCAAGATCAGCAATGAGATACTATTTCATACCCCTCAGGATGGCTACTATAAAACAAAACAAAACAAAACAAAACAAACAGTGTTGGTGAGGATGTGGAGAAATTGGAAACCTTGTACATTGCTGAAGGGGGTGTAAAATTGTTGCAGCTGTAGAAAACAATATAGCGTTTCCTCAATACATTAAACATAGAATTACTGGTTCCAGTAATTCCACTTCTGGGTACATACCCCAAAGAAAACAGAGTTTCAAACAGACATGTGCATACTCATGTTCATAACAGCATTATTCACAACAGCTGAAAGGTGAATAGAACCCCAATGTCCATGGATGAATGAATGAATTAAAAAAAATTAGTATTTAATAATGAAATATTATTCAGCCTAAAATAGGAAGGAGATTCTGACACATACTTCAACATGGATAAACCCAATAGGCCAGAAAAAAAAGGACAAATATTGTTATGATTGCACCTATATAAGGTACCTAGATTAACAGTTAAATACATACTGACGGAAAGTAGAATGGTGGTGTTTTACACTATTCTTGCATTGCTAAAAAGAGATACCTGACACTGGGCAATTTATACAGAAAAGAGGTTTATTTGACTCATAGTTCTGCAGTCTTTACAGGAAGCATGGTGCTGACATCTGCTCAGCTTCCATGGAGGCCTCAAAAAGCTTACAATCATGACGGAAGGCAATAGGGGATCAGGCATACCACATGGTGAAAGCAGGAGCAAGAAAGAGAGGGAGTGGTGGGGGAGGTGCCACACACATTTAAATGACCAGATCTTGTGAGAACTCACTGTCATGAAGACAGCACCAAGCCATGAGGGATCCACTCCCATGATCCAAAAACCTCCCACCAGGCCCCACGTCCAGATTCAGGATTACAATTCAACATGAGATTTGGGTGGGGGCAAATGGCCAAACTATATTAGGTGGTTACCAAGAACTGGGAAGGAAGTTAGTTTAATAAGTGCAGAGGTTTTTTTTAGAAAAAGTTCTGGAGAGGCATAGTGATGATGGTAATACAATAATGTGAATGTACTTAATACCAATGAACTGTACACTTAAAAACAATTAAAATGATGAATTTTACCACAATAAAAATTACATATGTGCCTTGAATTGTATTTCTGTTGGATGGTACTGGTCTAGAAATACAACATATTTTATGTTTAATTATAATTAGTGGTTGTAAATCACAAATACCTTTTTTTTTTTTTTAAATGCAAAAACAGGCTGGGCGCGGTGGCTCAAGCCTGTAATCCCAGCACTGTGGGAGGCCGAGGCGGGTGGATCACGAGGTCAAGAGATCGAGACCATCTTGGTCAACATGGTGAAACCCCGTCTCTACTAAAAATACAAAAAAAAAAAAAAAATTAGCTGGGCATGGTGGCGCGTGCCTGTAATCCCAGCGACTCAGGAGGCTGGGGCAGGAGAATTGCCTGAACCCGGGAGGCGGAGGTTGCGGTGAGCCGAGATCGTGCCATTGCACTCCAGCCTGGGTAAGGAGAGCGAAACTCCGTCTCAAAAAAAAAAAAAAAAAAGCAAAAACACCCTTGGCAGGACTTATTTGAACAAAATCAGGTGCCTGACCTCTACTTAACTACTAATATGCTAATATGAAACCACACTGGCATACGGCACACTAAGGAGGAGTCATTCTTACTTACAAGCTGCAGCAGGCACAAGGAACCAAATGGGCCACAGAGATACACATTAGGCTGGAGAAAGGGCTGACATTGATGTCAGGGTGGCAGATGGTTTCTAATGCCCATGGAGAGTTTAAGAACTAATGGACACATGTCCAAGGTCAAGGAATAGGGTAGGAACTGACTTTGTCATCATGCACAAGATGGCATACAGTGATGCAACATGAAATACCTCTTCCTCACCCTCAAGTTTTGCTAAAAGAAGAAATTTTTGGCCTATCTCTACCCTCTGACTCCTTCCTCTCTAAAGGAAGCAGAGTGACTTACCCCGCTGGCAAATTTAGGAGAAGCCATGGAGGTTGAAAATGCCTATCCCCTTTCTCTCTGATCAGCCTGTCTATAGGACAGACTGCTTTTATGTGCTGAGGACAGATGCTGTCAAGTTTGGCCTGGAGATCCTTTTCTCACTGTCCCCAAGATGAAGTCAAGTAGATGCTGGCCTGGGTTTTGGGGTAAGTTTGCTTGCCCTGCAGTATAGATTCACTCTTACTTTCCTGCAGGGGAGTCACCCAGGGCCCCAGTTGAACACAGAGGCCCTAAGTGTTAGAGAGCTTGACTGGTGCTGCAGATCCATGCATGACTTCTAATTCTCTTTTATGAACCTCAAAATTCACATTGTCAATTTCATCTGTCTGGTTTCTGTGTTTCATTTCTCAACTGGTTCCCAGTTTGATGTGGAGAGAGAGGTATTAGCAATTATCCTTCTTAAACCTCCTAAGAGCAGTTTTCAAAACAGCAAAATGAACAAAAATGGCATAGCAGTATTTCGTGTATGGCTTCAAAAAATATCCATTTGATGAAGGCCAAGACATAAATTTGATGAAGGCCAAGACATAAATTAAGTCATAGTTCTGTAAGAATGTATTATGCAGAAGGCAGGTAAAACATTTTTGCAGGATTGCAAAGGCTCTAAGCTGAAGCATAGCAATCTGGAGTTACACTAAGAAGATTGGGCTGTGTCTGTGGCACGTGTGTGTAAACGTCGCATGCCAAGCACTTGCTAGGTTCAGGTTGCACAAGAGTGCTTTCTTTAGCTCATTTTGGAGGCTAAGTTGAAATGACGTTGGGCTCTTTCTTAAACAGACTTGAGCTTTATACAGTTATAGGTGTTTGGAGGTTCTCCAATCTAATGATGACATCTGGTTGCAGGAAGGCAGGTGTGTAAGAGCAGAGAGACTGTGAAATACAAACACTTTAGCAAATGTGGAATAATTAACAATATTTTTAAGGCAAACCAGAGACCAGTTTCCAGAAAATAGCTAGAAGCTACTGCTAGGAAGATCCAGTCAATGATTTAAGGAGAAACTACTAAGGAAGAGAGGCAGGTAGTTGGAACACAGAATGTTTCTTAGTAACAATGACATTTCTCAATGGTAAATATGAACACAACCAGGGTGGCAAAACCACCCTTAACAATATAAAGCAGTTGACAAACTTGAGATGGGATAAAACATTTTCTGGTAGTTGGATATTCGGATAGATTAGTGCAGTGACTAGGAGCCCACAGTTTTCCAGTTCAAAAGAATAAATGGTGGAATGAGAAACAGGCTAGTAATATGTAACAGAAAATGAGATATTATTCCCACAATTTATTTTTGATGTTTGAAATTCATAATTCTGTATCCTATAAGTAAACACAACCCATCTATTTACTGTAAAGAGCTCGAGTATTGACTTTTTTGACATAATTTAAAATGCCTCATACTTATTTTTCTAAAGAAACTACATTTTAAATGTTTCACTCAAGAATCTAAAGAAGAGATTTGATTTATTAGCAAGATGTATGGGCAGAAAGTCCTTTCCTATACAGTTAAGAAAATATAGAGGGTATTCACTTGTTCCAAGAAAATCTCCCCAAGAAATGTATGTTAGGCTGCAGTGAACACTGACAGTAGGCTTCTTTAAAAATTCCATATGAATTCTTCTTCCTGGCTCTGGGGCTACTAAAAGCAACTTTATTAATCATCAGAATGTGTATGGGATCATTGTCACTCAGTGACCGGAACAGGAAGGCAGGCTAGCCTGATGCTGGCCATGCGAGGTTTGGGTGTGTAAGGCCCACCATGCTCCACAAGTCCTCCCCACCCAAACCCTACCCACAGGCATATATTTTCATATGGTTCTGTATCGTAAGCTGGTTCATTCCCCACCTCCCACTTCCTAGTTCTGTTACTTGGATCCAGAGCTGTTTTTCTTTTTTGAGATGGGGCCTTGCTGTGTTACCTAGGCTGGTCATGAACCCCTGGGCTGAAGTGACCCTCCTACCTCAGCCTCCTGAGTAGCTAGGCTACAGGCAAGTGCCATCACACCTGGATAGAGTCTTTTTTTGTTGCTGTTTTCTTAGCCTACACTGTATCTTGCAACTTCTCTGAGTCTTTTCAGAGCTGGGCCTATCCTTTTACACTCACTCGACCTACCTGTGTCTTTCACTTTATCTCCATCTCCTGCATGGCGGCAGCTAAGTTCTTCCTGGTGGCCATCTGCACATCTTTCTGCACTCAGGATCTGCTGCTTGCTCTGACACTTTCTGTGTCCCTCCGTCATAACCTCCTATTTGCAATACATAGGGGGCAGCTTCTGTTTCAGATTGTGAGGATGAAAAGAACAGTCTCCTCAAGATGCCCTTTTGGTCTTGGTGATTAGATCAATCTCTATCTTTACTTTCAGTCCCAGAATCTTCATCTCAATGTGCCCCACAAGTAATGTAGACCAAATTAGGGGGAAGGCAGGACACAAAGCTCTGAGACATGTCAGGAAGGGATGGGGATGAGCCAGTCAGCATCCTGTACAGCAAATGGTCACTGCTCCTTACGGCATTTTTAAATAGTCAGAATTCGGAAACTTTGTGTAGACTGAGCCTATCTATCTTCATGGATTGTTTCACCTCAAACCATCACACAGTTCTTACCTCTGAGGAGAACTTTCTCCTTAGAATTATCACCTTAGTGTGATCTGAAGAGCAAGTTCCCCTCAAATCTGTCCTACTTAGACCACACTTGCAAACACTCCATGCTGGAGGAAAGGCAGCGTGCCTGCTTCTTGGCTCTCAACCATGACAAATCCTAGGTTACCTTGGAAATGAAGCAGAAAACTGCAAAGAGCCTGACCAACTAAGCAGAATGGAGGCCAAAGAAAGCCCAACTTCATTTATAAAATAAGCAACATGATTTGATCTCATACAATGAAATAGAAACCAAGGAACAACTCTGGAAGGAAAATTCATGATTATATAATCTTTCTAAAAACAAGTCTTTTATGTTGTAAAACACTTGCTATTAATTAAAGCAGGAAAATGCTCAAACCAAAGAGGTATACATCCTAATAGTATTTACAAACAGGTCCCTTTTGGGAATGCAATTCTTCCTTGGACCTGTATTTTGTATAGTTCTGACTCTTTGCTTTCATGATTCTGACACATTGCAGGATTAGGCCCTGGGTTTGCTTTAGGATCACTCTTATTTTATGTCAATTACATTTTAATATTATCATTGTACTTTTAAATGCATATAACCATCTGGTTATGCCTTACTATAAAGTGTTTTATTGTCATCACTCTTTTTAAAAGAAGTACCAGAAATATACCTTTAATAACACAGGGTTTTAAAAGGAGAATATGAGAACCAGAAGATAAAGAATATTTTGACAATAAGCCTAGTTTTATTCATTTTTTAAAAAAGATCTAAAAAAATCAGGCCTGTGTTCTCTTTGGCAGCACATATACTTTAAAAAAAAAAAATCAAGCTTAAGTGGCATTTTACATTTTATGGTTTCAGTTATTTAATAGTTTTAAAAATTACTTTACATAGAGCCTCCGAATTGTCCACAAACACCATTAGTGTTAGGTACTTCATTTTGAAAAGGATATTTTTGATAAAGATGACTGGCTAAGAAATAAAGCAAGAAAGGAAACACCCAAAATGTGTACCCCAAGGTCATTCTGGAGGTATTTAGCGGACAATCTCTCTTGAATCCTAAGCAGGCTGGTCATGCTTGGCCCAGAACTCCTGAATAATGATTTGCCTCTGAAATTTCCCATAAAGTTTTGCAGTGTTCCATTCATATCTATGACAGTCCAAAACCAATACTAATCCAGAAGCATTTTTCAGGTAATTGAGAGTACATTTTTTAAACACAGTCTATGCATAATATAATGATTAGGCATATTAGGGATAAAGAACTTAAAACATTGCTGAAACATAATTGCAAGTCTGCATCCAATAAAAAAGACCACAGAAATATTTAGTATCATATCTTAGTTTCTGTTAAATATTTTCAAAATGTATTTAACACGAAAAGTAATTAGTACAACAGAATTTGAATTCTTGATTTTTGTTCTGAAAATTTTTACTCTCAATATATTAGACATGGAAAAATTTTGTATTAAATTATTCCACATGTAAACCATATGTCATTCATTCATATATTCTTCTACTTTACTTCTTTACCAAAAATCGTGTGATGTCTGATCCATGCTTTGATGCTAGAGATTGTCTTCTCACCTGGCTTCTTTCCTTAGCTTGTCTGGCAGTTCTCTAAAAGTTAAAAAATATGCGTGTGCATATGTTAGGAAAAAAGCATCGGCTTCCGAAGCTCAAAAATTCTTTGTACTGATAGTCTGGAAATTCTACACTGTCACTACACACATTTTCCAATGCTTGGCTATTAAAGAGTTACCAAACCACAAGGCAGATACTCTGCAACTCTGGCAACTCCTAGGTTAGGACCTCAGTTCATAAGACCAAAGTGGCAGGAGAAGACATACAACTTGAGAGATGTCTTGCTACCCAGCAACAGCACGAATTTCTCATTTGGAGACTGGGGAGGCCCTGATTCTCCCATCCAAATGGGAGTTCTTAAGGCATCTTGGGATTATCCAGAGTAGAAGATCTACCCACTTCCTATTCTCTGATCCCAGGGGCCATTTCCAACTCAACAGATGAGCTGGTGTGGAAAATAAAATGACATAGACCAAAACTGGATTCTTCCACTAATGCCACAAATAACATTTTTCATGACAATTTAAAAAAATAATTACAGAAAAGGCTGCATTTTCTTTGGCTATTTCTTAATTCTCTTATAGGTCTTGAATTTGCAAATAACTTGCTTAGCTGAGAAATCAGATGACTTTTTTTTCCATTTGAAGTCCATGTGAGGTGATCCAGGAGCAAAGAGTGAAGGACAGAAGTGAAGCTTACGTCCGGCTAATACCTGTAATCCCAGCACTTTGGGAGGCTAAGGTGGGTGAATCACCTAAGGTCAGGAGTTCAAGACCAGCCTGGCCAACACGGTGAAACTTAGTCTCTACTAAAAATACAAAAATCAGCCAGGTGTGATGGCACATGCCTGTAATCCCAGCTACTCAGGAGACTGAGGCAGGAGAATCAGCTTGAACCCATGAGGTGGAGGTTGTAGTGAGCCAAGATCGTACCACTGAACTCCAGCCTGGGTGACAGAGTGAGACTCCATATCAAAAAAAAAAAAAAAAAAAGAGACGCTTACAACTAAAACAAATTACAAAAACCAAAAAGCCTGCCTACATGACATGATCCCATTTATGTAAAATATGTGTTTTTTTAAAATTGCATTTTAGGTTTTGGGGGTAAAATGTTTTCATATAAAAATGTTTGTGAAAAAACTGTGGAATATAGCATATTAAAAGAGTAGTAGGCTAGGCACAGTAGTTTATGCCTGTAATCCTAGCACTTTGGGAGGCTGAGGAGGGCAGACTACCTGAACTCCGGAGTTCTTGACCAGTCTGGGCAACATGGTGAAACTCCAGCTCTATTAAAAATACAAACAATTAGCCAAGTGTGGCGGCATATGTCTGTAGTCCCAGCTACTTGGGAGGCTGAAGCAGAATTACTTGAACTCAGGAGCTGAAGGTTGCAGTGAGCCGAGATCACACCACTGCACTTGAGCCTGGGCAACAGAGTAAGACTCTGTCTCAAAAAAAAAAAAAAAAAGAGTAGTAGTAAAGAGTTCATACATTATAAACATTGGTAAAGGATCTGAAATAGTTCTCAAAGTTTAAACATAATTGATTAGCATTTTTTAAAAACATCAGTCTTTAGCAAACAAAACAATTGCAGGCCATTCTCCTTGTACCACATGGCACCCACTCACTGACTGTACTCAGTGGCAGTTAAATGGGCTTCTGGGGCCATAAATGAATAAAATTCTTTGGAAAACAGTTTGGTGATAAATTCCTACATTGTCAAAAATATCCAAACACTTTTGACTCAGTGATTTTTACATATGAGAATCTACCTTATGGAATGATCTCAAAAAGTAGGAAACAGTCTTGTTTACAAAAAATGTGCTTGGTGGCATGATGCAGAAAAGCAAAAAAAAGTTTAAATAAATATTAATCAGTATGGGAATGGTTAAGTAAACTACAGTAGAGATCTACTCAATAGAATATTGTATTATGCAGTCATTTTAGATGATATAAATTATGAATGGTTGGAAAACATGAGAAATGCTTAGATCTTGCTATAAGTGAAAAAAAGGCGAACACGAAGTCACATATAGAATATGTGCCTCTTTTTTTTTTTTTTTTTTGAGATGGAGCCTTGCTCTGTTACCCAGGCTGGAATGCAGGGGTGTGATCTTGGCTTACTACAACTTCCGCCTCCTGGGTTCAAGCAATTCTCTGCCTCAGTCTCCCAAGTAGCTGGGGTTAGTTGCTTACCACCATGCCCAGCTAATTTTTGTATTTTTAGTAGACATGAGGTTTCACCATCTTGGCCAGGCTGGTCTTGAACTCCTGACCTTGTGATCCATCCACCTTGGCCTCTCAAAGTGCTGGGATTACAGGCGTGAGCAACCTCACCCAGCCATGTATGCCTCTTTCTAAGATGATCTCAACAGGTGAATCTTATTACCTTTTACTGGACTGCCTATAAAAAATTCATCCTGGTAGATAAGCAATACTATGTGTTTTTTCTTCTCATTCTAAGCAACAGGTAACTAACTACCCAATGATATGCCAGAGTTAATTGGTTTCATACTTTGGCCAGCAATGAAACCTCTGCATGTTGAATTGAGTTGGTCCTAGAGATAATTTATTAATGTTTTCAGATATTTCAGGATATCCTTAGTTATATGCAAACATATATGACTGTCCCAATTCACCAAACTTCCAGTTTGAGGATCAGGGTCTTGTCAAGACAATATATAAACTGTATTCATTTATTTTTTGGTAGTGGTGCTAATGTCTTGTTACTAGAATGAATTAAAAGGGAAGCAGCTTCTCTTGCATCTGTGACACAGGCCTTGAGAAGAAAAGCAAGTGTTAGATGATGAAACGGATAAAATGCATCTTGAATCTCAGACCAGGGATAAATTCATCCACATAATCTTCCACACCTGTATGCACAATTTTCCATTTGAGTTCTCAGGATGGAGTCAAAACTATATTAGAGCTTCACTGACCTCTTTATGACAGACTGTGCAGAGAGTCTGCAGGTTGTCCAGGGAACACTGTCCTCCTCCCCTGTACACTGGCTTGATGTGATCCACCTGCCAGAAATGTCCTTCCCCTGGGTTTCTTATCATTTCATTTAGCTGTAATAAGAATACAAGTGCAGCAATTTTCAACATATATTGCAAGAACTGTGTGTTGGTTTTGCACTGTGCAACCATGTTTATACAGCAAAAGCATGGGGAAAAATACATCAGGATAGCTTTTTATAGCTTTTATTGTGAGTAGAAAAAACCCTCTGGTTAGCAGTTTGAAAACAATAAAATGTTTTCTGAAAGCTTTTTTTCTCCCTTATCTAACTCATTTTGAAAAAATTACAAGGAAACATAAAATACCAAGACTCATGGCAGATTGGGAAAAACTGATTTTTCTGCACCTTTAGTTTATATATTCACTAAACCAAATCTAAGAAAAGAGTAAGAATAGATTAGAAATTTAAAACTTCTCAATACTACTGAGTCAAACAATTTTTAATTGTTGACCTAAATGCTTTTGTCACTATACAGTGGCAGTTTAATATCAATGGCTATTAGCTAGAACTTTTATACTATTCACCAGAGAACTTTCCAAGTTATGTGGACTGGAATGAAATTTCTAGAACAAATCTCTGTAACTTGCACATTTGGAATAATTAAAGATGACCATTTAAAGTAACCTTTATTTAAGCCAGTCCACATATACACACTTTAGCTGACCTTTACTACTGCCTGCCTTACCTTCTCTTCTGTGTTGAACTTTCCAACTTCTGTTAGAAGAAATGTATTGATTTTTGTTTTTGAGGTTGGCATTGTTAGAAGCACCAACAAATGACAGTCCCGTGAATCAAGCAAATGGCATAGTCTTAGGGGAAAAAAAAAATCCATTTTGGTTTTGCCTTTTTAAACCAATTCCTTCTCTCTGAGCAATCCCCACTCTGACAAACTCAATGATCCAGAAGATGCTTCTTTAGTTTTTCCAAGAAACTGTAAGGCAAATCACTTGGGGCCACTCTTTAATATCCTAAATTTGCCCACCTCTTGAAAGAATCACTTGATGTGGTAGTGCATGCCTGTAATCCCAGATGTTTGGTAGGCTGAGGCAGGAGGATCACTTGAGCCCAAGACTTCAAGATCATCCTGGGCAACACAGTGAGACCCCAGACCCAATCTCAATAAATAAATAAACAAAATAAAATCACTCTCTCTCTGACTAGTCCTACCCAATCTGAGCCTATTGTGCTGCTTATTCTCAGAGCACTTTTGTTTTGGCTATCTATTATATTACTTCTGCATTCCTGGACAGGTTGCTTTCAATAACCTTGAGTCATTTTGTTGTATGTCTTCTGGAAGCCGTCACAGTGAGGCAGCAGTAACCGGAGTCTGACTGATATCCCTGGGATGTGTACAATATGTCCCTCATCAATTAGACCAAAAGATCTTTCAGGAACTCTGGATATCATTAGAGAAATAGTGTATTTCCCTAGCTCTCAAAGACACGCTAATTCATCTTTGCAGAAATGCTGATGAATTAATTCCTTCATATTTCAGCAACACTATCCTAGGTAAATAAAAATATATAGTTATCTAGCTGGCAGGAATTCATTCAATATTTTAGTGGGCAGAGAGTGAGGGGTGATTTTTAAAAATTAAGCACACTACAATAACACATTTTACTTAGAAGTAGGTTCTCACTCTGTTGCCCAGGCTGGAGTGCACTGGCACCATTGCAGCTTACTGCAGCCTCGACCTTCTGGGCTCAAGCAATCCTCCTATCTCAGCCATCTAAGTAGCTGGTACTACAACAGGCGCATGCTACCACACCAGGCTAATTTTTCTGATTTTTTTTTTTTTTTTTTGTAGCGACGGGGTTCCACTATGTTGTTCAGGCTGGTAACTTTTGGCTCAAGCAATCCTCCCACCTTGGCCTCTCAAAATACTGAGATTACAGGTGTGAGCCAAAGCCTGGCCTAATTTGAAATTTAGAATTGTTCAGATAGCAAAATTAGAAATCCAAATGAATTTTGGAAATGAAAGTGAATATTGAGGACAGTGTGCTATAAATTATATTTTGTCATAAACTGGTGTATTACATTTTACAATGCAATGAACACATATATGTGTGTGAGTGTATATACACATACATAGCCTTCTGATTGTGATGGACTATATTTCTGGGGTTACCTGTTTGCTCCCTGCCATTCAATATTAACATTATAGAAAGTGGAATCAACAGACCATAAGTGCCTCTTAATACACTGTAACACCTGTTAAGATCTTGTCCCAAAATAACTGAATGAGAATGAAATTAAGCCTCTAGATCTTAAAATTGTTATTCAGAAAATTGGCGGAATAGAAGAACATGTCAAACAGTACCTTGTAGATACAGGGAGATAAATCCAGAATGGCAAATGATCCAGTATATTCAACCATTGATAGTATAAAAAAGGAATGGGGTGCTATTATAGATTAAATGAAGCATAAGAGGCATTATTATCAAATGTACTATCTGGGTGACAATTTGATCCTAATTTGAATAAAGTTACTATAAAAGACTTTTTAAAAAAAAATTTTTTTTGAGACAGAGTCTCGCTCTGTCACCCAGGCTGGAGTGCAGTGGTGTGATCTTGGCTCACTGCAACCTTAGTCTCCCAGGTTCAAGTGATTCTTCTGCCTCAGCCCCCAAGTAGCTGGGACTACAGGTGTCTGCCACCATGCCTGGCTAATTTTTTATATTTTTAGTAGAGATGGGGTTTTGCCATGTTGGCCAGGCTTGTCTCGAACTCCTGACCTCAGGTGATCCACCTGCCTCGGCCTCCCAAAGTGCTGGGATTACAGGCAGGAGCCACTGAACCCAGCAAGACATTTTTGAGACAATCTGGGAAGCCAAACACAGACTTAATATAATTAAGGAATTGTAATTGTGCTGGGTATGATAACTCATACTAGGATTATATTTAAAAGAATGAGAGGAAAAGAAATGAGGAAAGGGAAAGAGGGAAGGAAGAAAGGAATGAAGGAAGAGAAACAGGGAGAAAGGGAAGAGGGAGGGGGAACAAGGGTGGGAGAGGGAAGAAAGGATAGAAGGAAGGAGGTCTTTACCTGTGAGAGATACAGAAAGAAAATACTCAAGAGTGAAAGGAAATATCTGGAATTTTCTTAAAAATATTCTAGGAGATGGCCAGGCACGGTAGCTCATGCCTGTAATCCCAGCACTTTGGGAGGATGAGGCGGGGGTATCACCTGAGGTCAGGGATTTAAGATTAGACTGGCCAACATGGCAAAGTCCCGTCTACTAAAAATACAAACATTAGCCAGGCATGGTGGCACATACCTGTGATCCCAGCTACTCAGGAGGCTGAGGCACAAGAATCGCTTGAACCCAGGTGGCAGAGGTTTCAGTGAGTCAAGATCGCGCCACTGCACTCCAGCCTTGGTGAACAAGGGTGAAACTCTGTCTCCAAATAAAATAAAATAAAATAAAATAAAATATTCTAGGAGAAAAAAACAAGTGAGTCAAAGGACAGATGAAAATGAATGGCAAAATGCTGGAAACTATTAAAGCTGGCTGATGAACATACGGGTCCATTATATTCTCTCCTTTTATATATATGAATATTCCCATGTTAAAATTTAAAAAGTAAAGTTAAAGAGTCAATATTCATTATACTTAGTACAATGCTGCCTTCTATCTATCAGATGATTATAATTTACCTGCTCTAATGGGAGCTTTGAAGTCCAGGTAGCATCCAAAAGATTCTTCCTCTGACTTTTAGGGGCATCCCTCAGACGTAAAAAGAGTTCTTGTGCATTCACATTACAGAGCTGACACACACCATGTTCAGTTTCAAATACTTTGGCTCGCAGGTAACTGTTATTAGATCGAATCCAAAACTCTTCCTGACATTTCAGAGAGCAAAACCGTGAATCCCAAGCGTTTGCTTTACACGCTTGCTTAGTTTGGCAAGTGGGTTGCTGACAGCGAAGGCAAAGTGGATTTCCTTCATTATCCACAGCTTGTAAATAGCCTTTGGATGTAGAAGGCTTCCCAGTGAGATCAGCCTGGACTGTGTCTGGACTTAGAAATGGGACACAGGCTCCATCTTCAAGAAAGTTTCTATAATTAAAAAAAAAAACACTGAATAGGTAACTAATGAACGATTAGTCTAAATAGTCATTGCTTCATATAAAGGTTATCAAAGTTTCTATATGAATAAATAGTAAATATAGATCACAACATAGAAATGAAATAGCTATAGTCAGCACTCTATATTCCATGCCGAGCAACGAAGAACGATGTATTATAAAATATTAATTTGAATACAAATATGATGCCTCTCTTGGGAATTTAGATGCCCTCATGTTAAAGAATCTGGAAACATGTAAAATGTGAAAACATAAGAAACATCTGGAGAGGCTGTTAGAAAATGTTTCTTCAGGCTAGGAAAGGATAGCTAACGTAAAACCCCAGCTAAATCTTAGTGGCTACCTGGCTCCTTAAATATATGGGGTCACACACCTCATTAGCTCAGACAGGTCATTACAAACTCTCTCCTCCAGCCTCTGCTAGCTCACAGGAAACAGTCACAGCCCTAAAGTGACAGAGTAAAATAGCTGAAAGTGCTGAAAGGAATTAGAACAAAAGACTTGCTCAATACCATGTTTCCTACAAGTAAATGTAGAGTTGATGAAATTAAATTTAGAAACAAAACATCATAGGATATGTACTCAATCTGTTAGAATAAAAGAAAAGGTACACTGCTCAATTTTGTTAGAAAGTCCTACTTGGGAAGTAACAACAGCTGCTTTGTCTATTTTCCATGGTTGTTTGAAAAGTTAAAAGAAGGCTTCTAATGATGGAGCTCAAGATTAGGGGACAGAGCCTAGATTTAACCTCAGGTCCCCTGGTATCTACCCCCAAGCCCTGGGGCAGGTTACTTAGTCCACCTGGTCTCAGGGTCCTTCCTCATCTCTAATGTTTAAAATGAGGACACCAGGTACCTCAACAGGTTGCTAGGACAACTGAAGAGCTACTATTTTGTTAAAGTTCCATGTAACTTCTGAAGTGGTCATACAATGGTGAGACATTATTATGAAAATCAATACATACATGTAAAGGAGTGGAATTAGCAATACTGTATACTAACAGTAGAAAAACCTTACTTTGTGTAAGGATCCCATGGCCTGGACTCCTTTGTGATCAGACGAACATGGCCTCCAGCATTCCTCACTTTGTCCACTGAAGCTACAGCAACATCTTCTTTGGTTATGTATCTAAAACAATGATATGTTAATAAATAGATTCCCTCTATCTCATATAAAAATGTCTCCATTGCATATTTACGTTGTTCCTCGCAAAAGCAATAGGAGAAAAAGCAAGTACAATTCTATTCACTATGCTAAAACTCAAGTTAGAAAATGGAATTTTCACCCTTTATATTGGTGTCCATTATGTGAGAAATACATCTCTTTGTTCCAAATTAGTTTTCTCCAATTTCTTTTTCTAAGAAATTCAAGAGTCACTCAATATCCTTTGGACCAATTTTCATTTAGGGGAAAAAGGAGCAGGTTTCAGAATAAGAAATCAAATACATGCACAACTGACAGCCTTGAGGAAACTGCTTGGCAAACTGTGCAGAAAATTTCTAACTGCATTTTTACTTCCCTCTTGACCTTCTCTTTAAGGCTTCTCCAAATCACCTTAGTCAGTTATAATAGTATATGAGTGTTTGGGTAAATTGAGTCTCTTTTTAGTTAACCAGGTTCAATCACATCTTCTGTAATCTCAAGGTTGTTTCCCTTATTATCAGCCCATACAGGGTTTATGGATTCCTCCACAGAAATAAAGCCATTCTTGATGTGGGATTCAGAACCTTATTACCCAACACTAACAATACCACACAATGGCTCAGGGACTAGAAGTAAAGAGAAGTTATTCCAATTAAAGGTGATGGGGGAATTTAAGTTGGTGAAATGCAATTACCCAATTAGTTCCTTCTTATTAATTGGCCCAGTTTCTCTGGTGGTTTACACCTATTGTAGGTTTTTAAAAGTAAACATGAATTTCTTAATATTATTCAGTGCTTCTTAATTAGGCAGCTTGACAATAACATTAAAATTCAATCTCAATGGAATTGTGCAATTGCAGGTAAAATTTTAGAAATTTCATTTATGATATTAGGGTAGATTTAATAATAAACAGGTTTCCTTTTTAAAATAAACTAACTTATTAATTTTTATTAGGTGATATAAGCACATGGTTCTAAATTCAAAAGGCAAAAAAGAGTGTCTATGGTGATGAGTTTCTCTCTCATTCCTGTCTTCCTTTTGACCCTCCCCAAAAGTTACATCTATTGTCATATTTTTGTTTTATTTTATTTTTTGAGACAGGGTCTCACTCTGTCACGCAGGCTGGAGTGGAGTGGCACTATCTTGGCTCATTGCAACCTCCGCCTTCTGGGTTCAAGCTATTCTTGTGCCTAAGCCTCCCAAGTAGATGGGATTATGGGCACGCACCACCATGAGCGGCCAATTATTGTATTTTTAGCAGAGATGAGAATTTGCCATGTAGGCCAGGCTTGTCCTGAACTGGCTTCAAGTGATTGGCCCATCTCAGCCTCCCAAAGTGCTGAAATTACAGACATGAGCTACCGTGTCTGGCTCATTTTAGAAATAGTTTATTTTTGGCCTGGCATGGTGGCTCACACTTATAATCCCAGCACTTTGGGAGGCCGAGGCAAGTGGATCACCTGAGGTCAGGAGTTCAAGACCAACCTGGGCAACATGGCGAAACCATGTCTCTACTGAAAATACAAAAATTAGCTGGGTGTGGTAGCGTATGCCTATAATCCTAGCTACTTAAGAGGCTGAGGCATGAGAATTGCTTGAACCTGGGAGGTGTAGGCTGCAGTGAGCTGAGATTGCACCAGTGCACTCCAGCCTGAGTGACAGAGAAATACACTCTCAAAAAAAAAAAAAAAAAAAAAAAAGTTTGTTTTCTTCTGAGTATAGGTGTATGCCTTTTATTTATTTTTGCATTTTTATTGACAAATAATTTGTCAATAAAATTGACATAATTTTATTGAATTAAATTGGCATAAAATTCACCACTTTAAAGTTGGCAATTAAGTGCATTTTAGTATATTCACAAGATTGTGTAACCATCATCACTAATTCCAGAATATTTTTATTACTCCAAAAGGAAACCTGAGGCTGGGTTTGGTGGCTCACAGTTGTAATATGGCACTTTGAGAGGCAAAGGCAGGAGGATTATTTGAGGCCAGGAGTTCGAGACCAACTTGGTCAACATGGTGAAACCCTGTCTCTACTAAAAATACAAAAATCAGCCAGGTGTGGTGGTGCACACCTGTAGTCCCAGCTACTTGGGAGGCAGGGGCAGGAGAATCATTTGAATCCAGGAGGCAGAGGTTGCAGTGAGCTGAGATTGCGTCACTGTATTCCAGCCTGGGCAACAGATTGAGACCCTGTCTCAAACAAAACAAAAGCAAAAATAAACCCATACCCACTAGCACTCATTTTTCATTATACCTATTATTTTTAGAAATAAATAATAGCACAGCATATACACTAATCTTCACTTTGCTCTTTTTACCACAACACATTTCTCAGAGATCTTTCCTTATTAGGATCCACAGCTTCTCTCTCTTTTTTTTTTGGAGAGGCAGTCTTGCTCTGTTGCCCAGGCTGGAGTGTAGTGGTACAATCTTGCCTCACTACAACCTCCGCCTCCCAGGATCAAGTGGTTCTCCTGCCTCAGCCTTCCGAATAGTGGGATTATAGGCGCCTGCCACCGCACCTGGTTAATTTTTGTATTTTTAGTAGAGACAGGGTTTCACCATCTTGGCCACGGTTGTCTCGAACTCCTGACCTCATGATGCACCCACCTTGGCCTCCCAAAGTGCTGAGATTACAGGCATGAACCACCACACCCGGCCGCAGTTTCCCTATTCTTTTAAATGGCTCCATATTATTCCATTATTTGGATAAACCATAAATTTAACCAGTCTGATTGATGGACATTTAGGTTGTTTCCAGTCTTTGCTATCACAAACAATGCTGCAATAGATATAGTTATATATGACATTTTCTTTTTTTTTTTTTTTGAGACGGAGTTTCGCTCTTGTTACCCAGGCTGGAGTGCAATGGCGCGATCTCGGCTCACCACAACCTCCGCCTCCCGGGTTCAGGCAATTCTCCTGCCCCAGCCTCCTGAGTCGCTGGGATTACAGGCACGCGCCACCATGCCCAGCTAATTTTTTGTATTTTTAGTAGAGACGGGGTTTCACCATGTTGACCAGGATGGTCTCGATCTCTTGACCTCGTGATCCACCCGCCTCGGCCTCCCACAGTGCTGGGATTACAGGCTTGAGCCACCGTGCCCGGCCAGGCAATATATGATATTTTCTATACATTATGTATCTGTAGAATAAAATCTCCAGAAGTAGAATTCCTGGGTCAAAGGTCTTAGGTGTTTTAAATGTGGGTAGATTTTGACAAATTTCTTTCCTCTAAGGTTATACCAGTGTACGTGTCCACCAGCAATGAATGAATATCTGTTTCTTCTCTTTCACTAGCACAATGCCATTTTCAGAAGCTTCTGCTAATAATGACAGGTATCTCATCATAGATTTTAAAATTTGCATTCCCATTAAGAGTAAGGGGGAATATCTTTTCACATGTTTGTACTCTACTTGCATGTCTCTCTTAGGCCAAAAAGGAAATCAGGCCGTTGTTCTCCAGTCTGGGTAGCAGCAGTAGTTAAAGCACAGTAAATTAAACTTGCCCTTTTAGTTCTCAAACTGTCTCCTTCTCTGGCCCCACCTCCAAAAATTTCTTCAACCATTCTATTCCCTTGAAAAATGTACTTTGGGAAAGTATTTCTGTGGATTCTAGATGAACTCAAAAGCTTCCTAGCTTTGGGGGCAGTGGGATATTAAGCCTTGCCTGAGGTATTATTCAATGTTTAAAAGCTTAAAACCCTAACTGAGTAACTTTAAAAGATGCTGAGAAATCTAGTCAGAGATTTAGGCACTAAAAATAACCTTTTGCTTTCCTACAAGAGGTTTAAGAATAAATTTTTGGAAACCACAAGAAACAGATGAACCAATTCCAAAAAAAGGAGCTAACAACTTTTCAAACCTAGCTACAAGTTGCCAATACTTAATTTTCTACTGAGGTTTGCTAGGAAGTTCACCAACTCCCAAAAGGATCATTATGGTAAATCCCAATTTTAGCAAATAGAGAAGGGAGAATGTTGTCTCCTAAACGAATTCCTGGATAGTAAAAGGAGTGGATGATGGCAATTTTTGTAAGAAGAGTGTACGCTGGAAAGTGGCCCACATCAATGAATACAACCTTGGGCTCTGGATTTCTGACCTGCTTTGGAGCACAACTCTAACTAGAGATTAAACAGTTGGCATCCTAAACAAGTCAGGGCTTCAAGTGAATTAGGCCTGCCTCTGATAAATGGAACTCTGTAACCAAAACAGTGGCTGGTGATCTTGGCTTCCATTCAAATGTAAGAGTGAGATATTCAAAAGCTGATTGCAAGCTCTGAGCTTGGATGGGGCCTGCAAACTGGTCGACATCACTAGAGGATAATCTGGTTGGGGACGTAGCCATTGCACTTGGGAGAATGCCCCAAGTTAAACTGTAGCTCTTTTTTCAGAACCATTCAATATTTTTAAGAGATAAATCTTATAACCTCCTGCTTAGGAAATAAAATGGCCTGAGCACAGTGGTTCATGTCTTTAATCTCAGCACTTTAGGAGGTGGAGTCGGGTGGATCATGAGGTCAGGAGTTTTGAGACCAGCCTGGCCAACATGGTGAAACCCCATCTCTACTACAGATACAAAAAATTAGCCAGGCATGGTAGCTCATGTCTGTAATCACAGCTACTCAGGGGGCTGAGGCAGGAGAATCACTTGAACCCGGGAGGTGGAGGCTGCAGTGAGCCGAGATCATGACATTGCACTCCAGCCTGGAGGACAGAGCAAGACTCCATTAAAAAAAAAAAAAAAGAAAGTAAAATGTAGCTGCTGTCAATCTGAAAGCTGGCAAAAAAAAAAAGGGGGTCTGGGGAGTTTCACTTTTCAATATAATACCTCACTCTTTACTGAGCCTGATGTTTCTAAGTCTAGAGACTCTGATTCAGTTTCTCTATAAAGTAAACTGGTAACAGTAGTGTCTAACTGGTCCTCATACAGACTGCCAGTCAATGCTGCTGTTCAACAGCATATTTCACATTTGCTTTCAGAGATACATCATTATTCCAAATTACTGAGACTTAACTTGGGTTCTGCAGCAAGAATCAGAATGCTTCCTGACAGTATCTCCCCGCTGCAGGTACAAAGGTTTCATTTCATGATGCGGCTAAGTTGGTTTCTCTGGAGGCCTCTCTCTCTCTGCCTCTCTGTAATCAGTCACCAAGTCTCCAGATATACCTCCTTAATAGCTCTCTTCATTCTCTTTCCTGATTTTCACTGTAATAACTTAATATAGATCCTCATCATTTTTCTCCAGGTCTACTATAATAGTCTTTTAACTTGTATAGCAGGCAGAATTTTAAGACACCCTCTAGGATTCCTGTACCCAGGTTATTTAATCAATAACTAATTTAGATAATGCTACAAAAGGACTTTATAGATATAATTAGGTTGCTGATCAGCCCACTTTAAGATAGGGAGGTTACTGAGTGGGCCCAATGTAATCACTTGAGCCCTTAAAAGCAGAAGAGGAAGGCAGAGATTCCAAGAAGTAGAGGTCCATGTACTAGGACCATAGAGAAGCCTCTAGGAGTTGATGGTGGCCTCAGCTGACAGCCAGCAAAAAACAGGAACCTCAGTCCTACAACTGCAAGGAAATGAGTTCTGCCAACAATCTTAGTGAGCTTGGAGGTTAATTATTTTCCAAGCTTATCAATTAGAGCCCGGTCAGCCAATACTTTGATTCCTTCATTGTAAATCCAGAGCATTACTAGAAAACTAGTAATAGCCAACTTGGATTTCTTACTCATAGAACTGTGAGATAATAGATGTCTGTTGTTTTAAGCTTCTAAATTTGTGGTATTTTGTTATGGCAACTATAGAAAAATGTAACTTAACTCCACACTTTGAGTCTTGCCCTTTTTGATCAAATCTCCCAACTGCTGCTAGAGTTAGCTCCTAAAAATACAAATCATATTACTTAATCTGCTGTTTGTTAACACAAATTATATCCTTTATATTGATAACACTGTGTGTTTGACTTTGGTTTTATGAACTGTCTCTTGCTTTTAAACCTGACCAGTTGCCTTTCTCAGATGACACTTTAAGTGGTCATCAATGTCTGATGGAGAAGAAATAATAGGGCATGTCTAGAAATACCTAGAAATTCAGTTATGAAGAGAATTATGATCATGTGAGAAAGAGAAGGTCAATACTCCAGCAAAGACTAGTTACAAAAATGAGAAAGATTGAGAGGACAGGAAGTATCGGGAAAAATAAAATAGGCATTGTGTTTTTTGATATATGTGTGTATGTGTGTGTGTGTGTGTGTGTGTGTGTGTGTGTGTCCTTATGTGTAAGTATGTCTATATATGTACATAAATATGTAACACATATATTTTAAATGCATTTTTATAGAAAGTGACACATGCCCATGGGAAAAAAATCAACTGTTACAGAAGAGTTCAGGCCAAGAGTCCAAAACTGGTAACTTATGGATAAATTCAATTAGTCAAAGGGCTTTACTGTACTCATTCATACAGCATTTTAAATTTATTCATTCATTTTGAGACTGGGCCTTGCTTTGTCAACCCAGGATGGAGTGCAGTGGCATGATCACAGCTCATTGCAACCTTAACCTCCTGGGTTCAGGTGATCCTCCTGCCTCAGCCTCCCAAATAGCAGGTGTGAGTCGCCATACCTGGCTATTTTTTGTGGAGACAGGGTCTAGCTTATGTTGACCAGTCTGGTCTCGAGCTCTTGGCCTCAAGTGATCTTTCCACCTTGGCTTCCCAAAGTGCTAGCATTACAGGTGTAAGCCATCATGGCTAGCCAGTTTTTTTTTTTTTAAATTCAATTTTTAAATTTTATTAAATTAAATTAAATTCATTTAATTTATTTTTATTTTATCTTATTTTATTTCTAAGACAGGGTTTCACTCTGTCTCCCAGGCTGAAGTGAAGTGGTGCAATCATGGCTCACTGCAGCCTTTACCTCCCGGGGCTGAGGTGATCCTCCCACCTCAGCCTGGGACTACAGGCATGCACCGCCATGCCTAGCTAATTTTTCTGTTTTTTTTTGTAGAGATGGGGTTTTTCCATGTTGCCCAGGCTGGTCTTGAACTCTGGGTTCAAGCAATCTGTCCTCCTTGGCCTTCAAAAGTGCTGGAATTACAGGCATGAGCCACCGCGCCCAGTCCAGTATTTTATTTTTAAATCAGAATTTCAATGACTTCAGATGGGTTCCAAATCTACCTATTTGACATAGTTTCGGCCCATATCTCATTCTTTTCTAGCTTGATAACTGACCTCATTCATTCATTTGTGGTTCCTGTTTTGTTTTTAGTCCTATGAGTTTGTAATCCTGGCATAAAGTTCTTACTACCTCCACAAATCCTCAAGTTTTATGTCCTAGAGCAAGATTTCTCAACAGTGGTAATATACACATTTTGAAATGGATAATTCTGTCTTGGGGAGTGCAGTCCTATTCACTGTAGGATTCTCAGCAGCATCCTGGGCCTCTACCCACTACATACTCCCTAGTCGCATCCTTTACATTTATAATGTCTCCAGACGCTACCACCCAATGGGACCAAATTGTTCCCAATTGAAAGCCACTGTCCCAGAGGAACTCATGTTAAGAATTCCTAAGGTATCCTTCTAGATAATTTCTATGTTAATAATAGCCAGTTGTGCTATTTGTGCAAACAGTAAAGTTTGTGTCTCCATCCCCCCCTTTTTTTTTTTTACAATTTATATTTACCCTTAACAATTTATCACAAGTATCATTCCTTGTTCTTACAAACAAATAAATGTACCATATGCCATATTTTGAAACAATGAAAAAGATTTTCACCGTATGGAACTATCATAATTTATTTAATTAACCATGTTCTCAGTCCCCTGCTCCTCCCCACCCTCAACCATTAATGGATTTTTTTCACCTGGGTGCATGGAAAAAGCTAGAGAAAGAAAACCTCTCTAATAAACTGATGGAATATAAGCATGAAGAGTATGGAGACAGCAAGAGCTAAAGGGTTTTCTCTGTCAATGCTGCGGTTTGGTTTGTTGCTTTGCAATCTCTTGTTTTGTTTTGTTTTGTTTGAGACAGGGTCTCACTCTGTTGCCCAGGCTGGAGTGCAGTGGTACAATCTTGGTTCATTGCAGCCTTAACCTCCCATGCTCAAGCGATCCTCCCATGCTCAAGCGATCCTCCCAGCTCTGCCTTCTGAGTAGCTATGTTTCCCAGGCTGATCACTGAACTCCTAGGCTCATGCAATCTACCTGCCTTGGCCTACCAAAGTGTTCGGATCACAGGCATGAGCCACTGTGCCTAACCTACAATCTCTTTCAAAAGCAAGGATTGGGCTACAAAACAGCTGACCACTTTTCCTGATAATCCTTGCTTCATGCTTAGAAAAAGGTTTACAAAGAATGGGGATTTGAGATCACACAAGGGGATAAAGATGATTGTGATGACAAGGAAGGAAATCAACTGTATAGAAATTAGAAAGGGACCTATAATGATAAGGGCAAAACAGTCACAAATATCTGACAGACAATCTTTATTTTATTTCATTTCTAATCATGGACATGATTATAGTTATATTCCATTACTTCGGTAGTGATGCATTCAAATAGAACCAGCTCCCTTGCTGTACAGCATCATACTCACCCACAGGAGGGCAGAGCAGATGGGGTCCAGAGGCATGCTCTGATGTTCTAAGAATAAAATGTACTCCTGTTGCTAGTAAGTGTCCCAGGCTTGGCAGGTCATAGGTTGTACCATGCTGTGACTCTGCTCTTTTTTGTTGATAAATGGAACTCATGGTGAGTAAGATCTGGACAACCTGATCTCTTTCAGCAGATTTTATCAAATTCACTAAATATATAATTACATTGTTATAAAATAATATAGCTATGATTTTATGCATAATTTTCTCATAACTCATCAGGATTTCATTAGTGGTTCCAAAAGATGCATCAGACCCACCTATGGAAAGAACCATGAAAAGTAATATAATACAAAATCAAAAAAAGAAAGACAACTCATACCTTTTGGTGAAATTTTGTTTAGTTTGTTGCTTTGTGATCTCTTCCAAAGCAAGAATTGGGCTACAGAATAGCTGTCCACTTTTCCTGATTATCCCTTGCTTCATGGCAGTTAGACTACTCCATTCTCGAACAAACCTCAAAATCTGGCAGAAAATGAGATAACAAAAGAGTTAATAGCTCACTAGCCATCTTCCTTTGAAAGTGAGCCTATTTACAACATCAGAAAAATGCTATTTTGTTGTGTCCCCCAAATAGGCTTTTGAGTTCCACAACCTAAAGCTTTCTTTAATTTGACGCAGTTTTCATATCTTTATTGTAAACTAGCTACAGCAGTTCTTAAGAGATCTTTTTTTTTTTTTTCTTTTTGAGATAAGTTCTTGCTCTGTTCCTTCTACTTGCTCTGTTGAGATAGGGTTTTGCTCTAAGTGCAGTGGCATGATCATGGTTTGACCTCCTGCACTCCAGCAGTCCTCCCTCAGTCTCCTGAGGAGCTGGGACTGTAGGCACATGCCACCACACCTGGCTAGTTTTTCTATTTTTTGTAGAGAAAGGGTCTCACTATGTTGCCCAGGCTGGTCTCAAACTCCTGGGCTCAAGTGATCCTCCTGCCTCGCCTCCCAAAGTGTTGGCATTATAGGTGTGAGCCATCATACCCACCCAAGAGATCTTTTTCTCTAAAGGCATATGTCAGGACATGCAGTGTATGCCATTAACACACATAGGATCAACAGTGATAATATGCTCATTGAGACCAAAAAAGGTCTGGATGTACATACCCCAGCAGGGGTCAAGGCAAAACTGCGTGACAGAATGACAGTGCAATATCTGAGAATTGCTTTGTAAATGATGCCTAAGTTTTCACAGGAAAAAAAAAATCAATAAATCTGGGACATTTTTAGTAGGGTTACCATTACTCTTACTTATTATTCAAGTATATATAAGTGGATATTTTTGGGGATTCTGAGAATCAGGATTAGGTGATACCAAGTAAATAGCTTACCAAGTAAATACCTTTTCATTTAAAACAGGTACAGCTGACCTATAAGCAATGCTTCATTGCCACTCAAACTGTAAAAAAATAATCACCATTTTCTTGTAAAAATGGTACACAGCATGCTGGATCAGCCCCTGCTCATGATGACCCTTCTTGGCAGAGAAGGAAAATCAGCCACAGGTCAGTGTTAAGACCTCTCTGGCAGGAATTTGGCCTGGAGCTGCATGCTGGTGCTTCTGATGATGAATCAAGAATCACCCAATAAGGTATAATCTCTGATCTCGGAATTTGTCATTGTTAGAACTTAAACCTTAATAGAAAAAAAATGTGATTCTAGCCGATACAAATATCACAGTTGCTAATCCTGTGAATGAGAAATTAAATAATGTGAGAATGATTCTATCCACAGAAACAGCAACTCTAGGTGTGATCATTTGCCAAGGAAACAGATCTCACATATATTCTTAGCACTGGGCAATTAATAGGCACCGCCTAGACTGATGAAAATGCAACCAGTGATTTGACTCTACAACATGCCACAAAGTGCTTTTAAAAAATTAAACTCAAAAAGATCATTAACTTTACTAAAACAAATTTATTTAAAATAAATAAAGCCATTTTATTTAAAACTATTCTTACCAGAGAGCGATTTTGTTTCAGCTGAAAGCTTGCTGGTAAATCTTCCCAAAGGTCTAATTTTATATCCAAAGGAATGAAATTACAGCTCATCTGTTTTCCATCCTGATGATGGATTAGGAAGACATTAATAATCCATTTTTGTATAGGCACTAGCAACTATTTTTAATGAAAATAATTACATTATGACACAATACGCATAGTCTCCTAAAATAAAAACTGAGGTGACACATTCTAGACAAGAGTCCACCAATATGGCTCCCCTGGAGAAACTGTGAGCCAAGAAGGGGAGGCAGGCTCTCTATTGCACTGAATGCCTCCACTGCCCATGCCTTACCCAAGGCTGTTGCCTTCCGCCTGGAATGCTGTGTTTATTGCTGTGTCATACTCTTTTCTACTGACTAATCTTGAAAATAAGTATCAAAATAATACAATTTGTACATTGCAAATTAATACAGAAGAATATTACATCTTTTAAGTTAATAGTAGCACAATCATTCCCAAATTTGAAGTATCACATTAAAGAAGGGTGTCAAAGAATAGTCTGAATAACCTTCCCCAAATGATATGCCTGTCCACTGTTACAGGAATAAGGAAATAAAGAGAAGGTAGAGGCCAGGCACAGTGGCTCCCGCCTGTAATCCCAGCACTTTGGGAGGCTGAGGTGGGCAAATCACAAAGTCAAGATATCGAGACCATCCCCACCAACATAGTGAAACCCCATCTCTAAATATATATACATATATAAATATATATACACATATATACATATATAAATATATATACATATATACATATATAAATATATATACATATATTTATGTATATATATTTAGAGACGGGGTTTCACTATGTTGGTGGGGATGGTCTCTATATGTATATGTATATATATGTATATGTAAATATATATGTATATATGTGTATATGTAAATATATATGTATATATATTTAGAGACGGGGTTTCACCATATTGGTCAGGCTGGTCTTGAACTCCTGACCTCCAGTGGTCTGCCCGCCTCAGCCTCCCCAAGTGCTAGGATTACAGGTGTGAGCCACCACACGCGGCCCGTCTCTAATAAAATACAAAAAATTTGCCGGGCATGGTGGTGCATGCCTGCAGTCCCAGCTACTTGGGAATTTGAGGCAGGAGAATCGCTTGAACCTGGGAGGTGGAGGTTGCAGTGAGCTGAGATCGTGCCACTGCACTCCAGTCTGGAGACACAGTGAGACTCCGTTAAAAAAAAAAAAAAAGAAAAGGTAGAAAGATCAATTCTAGATAAATTATTTAAAAATTTGCTCCCCCAAAGCAATGTCACAATATCAGTCAATGAGGACTGTCTGCCAATGAGGCCACCTGGAGAATAAGTGGAACTGCATTTAGGTCCCAATAATTGGGTGCGCAACATCCTGAAATATTCCCCCACCACCCCCAACACTTCTTTTTGGGGCGAGGGGGGAGAGGGGACAAGGTCTCATTCTGTCGCCCAGGCTGGAGTGCAGTGGTATGATCTTGGCTCACTGCAGCCTCAACCTCCTGGGCCCAGGTGATCCTCCCACCTCGCCTCCCAAGTAGCTGGAATTACAAGTGCGTTCCACCACACCTGGCTAATTTTGTGTTTTTGTAGAGACAGGGTTTCACCATGTTGCCCAGTCTAGTCTCAAAATCCTGGGCTCAAGTGATCCTCCCACCTCAGCCTCCCAAAGTGCTAGGACTATAGGCATGAACTATCATGCCTGTTCCCTGGAACCTTAAGGGTAGAAAGTAACCACATATAGCAGTGTAGTCAGTTAAACATGAGTAGAGGTATTTCCTTTATAAAGAGAAAGAAGAGCCTCTTATATGAAAATCTATTGTATCGACAATAGTTGAACTCATATTCTCTCAGTTAAAAAAAAGTTACAGCTCCCACAATTACTATGGAAAAAAACATACAAAAAGTATGCATTAATTAAAAATTCTGACACGTAATGGTCATATGTAATTCTAAACCCTGATATATACTTGAGATTCTGCTGAAATGAACAGTTCTAATATGACACAGGATGCTAAATGTCTGTTACTACTCTTCTTTTTTTTTTTTTTTAAAAAGATGGGATTTCACCATGATGGCCAGGCTGGTCTTGAACTCCTGACCTCAAATGATCCACCCACCTTGGCCTCCCAAAGTGCTAGGATTACAGGCATGAGCCACTGCACCTGGCCAACTACTCTTCTTTTTAACGGGTATTCTTTTAGAATACCTTAACAAGTTTTTTTTTTTTTGACACGGAGTCTCACTCTGTTGCCCAGGCTGGAATGCAGTGGCACAGTCTCGGCTCACTGCAACCTACACCTCCCGGGTTCAAGTGATTCTCCTGCCTCAGCCTCCTGAGCAGCTGGAATTAGAGGTGACTTCTACCACGCCCAGCTAATTTTTTGCATTTTTAGTAGAGATAGGGTTTCACCATGTTGGCCAGGCTGGTCTTGAACTCCTCACCTTATGATCTGCCTGCCTCGGCCTCCCAAACCTCTGGGATTACAGGTGTGAGCCATCACACCCAGTGGAACTAGGAATTTTATCCAGATTTTACTTCAGTTTTTTTTTGAGATGGAATTTTGCTCTTGCTGCCCAGGGTGGAGTGCAATGGTGCGGTCTCGGCTCACTGCAACCCCTGCCTCCCAGGTTCAAGCAATTCTCCTGCCTCAGCCTCCCAAGTAGCTGGGATTATAGGCACTTATCAAAACGCCTGGCTAATTTTTGTATTTTTAGTAGAGAAGGGCTTTCACCATGTTGGCCAGGCTGGTTGAGAATTCCTAACCTCGGGTGATCCACCTGCCTCGGCCTCCCAAAGTGTTGGGATTATAGGTGTGAGCCACTGCACCTGGCCTTACTTCAGCTCTTTTAAGGTGAAAAGGAAAGCTTTCATTTAAACTCGACTCTGGTTGTGAAAAGATATGTGAACAATTCATCTGCTTAGTGTCTCGTGTTTGGAAAATTAGTTGGGTGATAACATTTTATGGTAAAGGGACATGTAAGTATTTAGAACAGTCATAAAAATATATTTGAGACCATTAACAGAGATGTCAGGAAGCAGCAGTGTCCCAGGCTACTGGGCTGGTGGCAGAGCCCGAATACGGGCCAGTGAGGTGGTTTTTGGTTGCTGTGGTTTGGTTTGGCAGCAGGTGCATTATGCCCTCTACCAGGAGCTTGCAGTTCTCTCCCTGTCTCCACCCCAACATGGATAAAACAGTGATCAGGTGTTCCAAGAGGCAGAGTTTTCACTGTACAGAGTAAAAAAAGCTTAAAGAATTGAAGGGCTTCTGGATTTCTGTGGTATGCTCTGCTTGGTGTCTGCCCTTTGGTTTCTCTACCTCTCTTGAAAATTTCTCTGTCCCTCTCATGTGATGGTCTGAGAAAGAAGCATGACGTAGAGCTCCCCCAATATGGGCAATGAGTGGTTCAGGCACTTAAACTTGCCTCAAGATGAGCAAAGGAGTCACTGGTGCACCCTGCAGCCTGGTTTACCATGTCAGAGGCTCCACATGGTAGACCAGGCTCCACACCTATAAGAAGAGCATTGATTATTGCCTGGCTTTGTTCTTGGTGTCTCTCTCTCAGCCATGGTCCCATGCTAGAGGCTGCTTGGGGATTCTGGTATTCATGATCCAAGCCATCTCCTCCTAAGTGAAGATTATCACATGGTACACTATACCTATATTTGGTTTAGTATAAAACCTGTAATTGAAAGTTTGGTTATCTCCAACATATTATCTTTTAAACATTGATATAATGGGCCATGTGTTTTGAAAGTTTCAAATACTATCTTACTGTACTTATAACGACTAGAAATTTAAAATTTTAGACCAAATAAAAGTATTCATAATCTACCCAGGCCACAGATTCTCATGCGGTTCCAGTGATCTTTTCAGAAAGTCATAAGTGTTTTCATACTAATAATGAGTCGTAATAATGAGATACTATTTGCCTTTTCCAATCTCATTCTTTCACAAATGTATGGTGACTTTTTCCATTGGCTACATGACATGCTATCTCAACAAACTGAATGCAGAGGCAGATATGAGAATCCCACTGTTTTCCATTAAGACTTCAGAGAAAATTGCTAAACATGTAAGACGTGACACTCTCCTCACTAAATATTTTTTGACTTCAAAAATATATTTTAAATTAAAAAATGTTATTTATATAAATACATAATGGGTTTATTTCTCTTAAAATATGCATTTATTCACTTAAAAATAATTGTTGATCAGGCATGGTGGTTCATGCTTGTAATCCTAGCACTTTAGGAGGCTGGGGTGGGTGAACTGTTTGAACCCAGGAGTTTGAGACCAGCCTGGGCAACATAGCAAGACCCTCTCACTATTAAAAAAGGAAAACAAAAAAATGGCCTGGTGCAGTGGCTCATACCTGTAATCCTAGCACTTTGGGAGGCCGAGATGGGTGGATCATAAGGTCAGGAGACCTAGACTAGCCTGGCTAACATGGTGAAACCCGTCTCTACTAAATATACAAAAATTAGCTGGACGTGGTGGCAAGCACCTGTAGTCCCAGCTACTTGGGAGGCTGAGGCAGGAGAATTGCCTGAGCCCAGGAGGTGGAGGTTGCAACGAGCTGAGATTGCGCCACTGCACTCTAGCCTGGGCAACAGAGCCACTTTGTCTCAAAAAAAAAAAAGAGAAATAGAAAAATGTAAAATGTACTTGTTAATTATTCACATTTAAGTGAATAAATAAATTTTTTTTTTTTTTTTGGACAGAATCTCATGCTGTCACCCAGGCTGGAGTGCAGTGGCATGATCTTGGCTCACCGCAACCTCTGCCACCCAAGTTTAAGCAATTCTCCTGACTCAGCCTCCTGAGCAGCTGGGATTACAGGCACTCGCCACATGCCTGGCTAATTTTTGTATTTTTAGTAGAGAGAGGGTTCACTGTGTTGGCCAGGCTGCTCTCAAACTCCTGACCTCAGATGATCCACCTGCCTCAGCCTCCCAAAGTGCTCGGGAGGATTACAGCAGTAAGCCACTAAGCCTGCTATAAATGAATATTTTTGAGAGTCTCCATTTTAATTTCACATATAGTAGACATCAATAGATATAACCCATATAAACAAAAGCTCATTGGGGTTTTCAACAAAGTTTAGGAGTGCAAAGGGGTCCTGAGTCTAAAAAGTTTTGGGCACTACCAAGCTAGCCTATGGCAGGAATCAGCAATCATCTGACAAAAGCTTCCTAGCATTTACTAACATGAATGGGCAGGCCGAGGCTTCTGTGAAGATGCTGCTACTCCTGCTGCTGCAAGTGATTGATGCAGGAATTAACATTTATTCAGAGTTCATGTAGGCCAGGCACTGTGCTAATTGCTTTACAGGACTCAGCTCATTTTACCTTTGCAACAAATCCTGTCCACATTTTATTTTTTATTTATTATTTTAACAATTTTTAATTTTTAAGGGTATACCATAGGTTTATGTATTTATGCAGTACATGAGATATTTTGATACAGGCATACAATGTGTAATAATCACATCAGGGTAAATGAGGTATATCACATTTTACGGCTGAGGAAATTGAAGCACACAGCAGTTGAGCAATGTGTCCAAAATTATATACTAACAGATTTGAACTGAGGCAGTCTGGCCCTGAAGTCTGTGTTCTTAAAGACCATATGGTTTTACCTCTCACTGTCTTTGGATTTAACATAGAAATTTGAAAATTAGCTTTAAGGAGGAAAATAACTAGACGCTTATCTCATTGTTAATAAAACTAAGTATCTCCATTGTAAAGTGAAAAAAGGAAGTCTTTTTTATGTTTTAAGTTACAGAATCTGCATGATGCTTACCTTAGTATAGAGGTGAATCCGGTCAGTATTCCTACTTGCACAAAACATTAAGGTGTCATACACTGGCAAAGTGTCTGAACTCTTCAACTGTTCTATTAAAGAAGACAAAAGAGAACCTGAAGGCTTATCTACCCTCTATCTTAAATAGCTTATTTTAATCTTGTGTAGGTTAGAATGATAAAATAGCTATATCAAAAATAACAATATATTTAACAAAAAGTAATTGTCTAGGCTTGAAATAAAACTACCACGGTAGGCCACTGAAGAGCATATTGGCTTATACGGTAACCAATTGTTTTACGTTTTTGCTAATGGCCTAATGAGAAACAACAGATTCAGAATTAGCTGAAAAAATACAAGTTAGGTAGGCATAAGGAAAAATTTCTGCCAATGAGAGCTGTTATTGGCCTTGAAGAAGTTTAGACTAATCTATTCCTTTTGCTAGAGTAGATTTAAGTTGAGACTGAATGAGTACCACTTTGATTATAAGCAGCAACATTGCTAAGTTGAGGGCCAGTTAAATGCCTGATTCCCTGCAGCCTGGTGCCTGACATTCACAAAAAAAGATAAGTAGGCAAGCTTCTTTTCTGATAATCTCTTCTTCTTTTTTTTTTTTTTTGAGACGGAGTTTCGCTCTTGTTACCCAGGCTGGAGTGCAATGGCGCGATCTCGGCTCACCGCAACCTCCGTCTCCTGGGTTCAGGCAATTCTCCTGCCTCAGCCTCCTGAGTAGCTGGGATTACAGGCACGCGCCACCATGCCCAGCTAATTTTTTGTATTTTTAGTAGAGACGGGGTTTCACCGTGTTGACCAGGATGGTCTCGATCTCTTGACCTCGTGATCTACCCGCCTCGGCCTCCCAAAGTGCTGGGATTACAGGCTTGAGCCACCGCGCCCGGCCTGATAATCTCTTCTTATTTAGCCCTTTTTCAGTCCTACTATCCAGTTATTCTGTAGGAGAGACAGGATTATCAATGCAGGTCTAAATAATAATTATAGTTAACACTTAGTGAGCACACACAATGTGCCAGCCCCTGTTGTAGGTATATATAGTAACATCGTTCAAAAATAAAAAGTACGCTTTACACGGGAAGAAACAGAGGAAGGTTGGGCGTGGTGGCTAACACCTGTAATCCCAGTACTTCGGGAGGCCAAAACAGGTGGATCACGGGGTCCGGAGTTTGAGACCAGTCTGACCAACATGGTGAAATTCCTGTCTCTACTAAAAATACAAAAATTAGCTGGGCGTGGTGGCAGGTGCCTGTAATCCCAGCTACTCAGGAGACTGAGGCAGGAGAATCACTTGAACCCAGGAGGCAGAGGTTGCAGTGAGCTGAGATTGTGCCATTGCACTCCAGCCTGGGTGACAGAGCGAGACTCTGCCTCAAAAAAAAGAAACAGAGGCACATTAACTTACCTATGGTCACATGGCTAGTAAAAGGACTTAAAACCAGCAAGCTGGCTCCAGGGCTTATGCTCTTACCTTCTCTCACAGTTCATCAGTGATCTTTTAAAGTACCTTCCCAGATCTAGAAGTCTATGATTTGTTTGCCATTTCTACTTGGCAATGTCATCACACTATTATTTTTCTAATCAAGGCATTGGCCACTTTATAAACTTGGTTTATGAATTATTCCCTTATTTTGTAAATTCAAAATGTACTTTAATATCTCTGAAACTGGCATGTCTTACAGTCAATAACAACATGGCATTTTACAATCATTGCTGGCCAAGTGGCAGTTGTAAAGTAGTTGTCAATGCCTTAGTATGCATGAGCTGAGTCATAGCTGTAATACTGTTGTCACTTTTACATTACATGAGGTAAAGGCATTGTCACTATATGTACTGACTTTATTACCTTTAAAATGTCTTTCATTTTTTTCACTAAGAGTTGGTATTGAAATGAAAAGTTACTATGTATACCATAAAACTTGGATACAGAGCAGGAGAGTAGAAATTTGATATTAAAGGAGCAAATGTGTATTACTGGAGGAATAACCAAAATATCTTATTTTCTTGTAAAGGAAAAACTGAGTGCTTCATGGTACTGAAGGAAATGAGATCTCTGCAAATAGGAGAAGCTGTCTTACATTCGGTTACTGATATGTACAAAAGGATTGCCTATTACATGCCAAACAAACCAATCAAAAGCAGGAGAAATTGCCAAATCTCTCAGAACAAATGAAAGAAATGTCAAAGCAACAGAGGATGATGTGGTCTGGTCTGGGCTATCATTAAGGTATTGTGTCATAGCTTAATTGGCAGTTTTCTTTTCTTTCTTAATGATACAGAAAATAAGTACATCTCATTATCAGTATATCTTCAGATTTGAAGAACTATGCATTAATGCTTGAAGATCAGAAGCCATTCTTTAATAAAAATAACTGTAACAAGAATTCCAAATCAGTTGATATTCATTCTTGATAGCTATTAGCTACATTAGGGAACATAGTTCTTTTTTCAGTGATGCCAGGAGTGTAATTCAATGGTTTGAAACTATAGATGATGCACCTATGGTCATTCTTCCAAACTTCTAGAATTCCAGAGAGAACAAAATTACTCTAGTTCTAAAAGAATATATATAAGTAGAATAAGCATTTAACATAGTGTGCCTCGTTTGTCTTCTGCCTTTTTTTTTTTTTTTAAATAGAGATGGGGTTTCTCCATGTTGGTCAGGCTGGTTTTGAATTCCTGACCTAAGATGGTCTGCCTGCCTTAACCTCCCACAGTGCTGGGATTATAGGCGTGAGCCACCACACCTGGCTTCCTGTTTGTTTTTTATGGAAATCCATGCTAGTGGAAAGATGTGAAACATACCTCTTATGTGGAATTCTCAGCCCAGTGATCTGAAAAGTCAAAAAAGGGAAGTGGGAATAGGTAAGGGGTAAATGCTGGCATTGTCTGGAGTGAATAAGGCCAAAGCAAATTTCATTGGCAGAATAGAACTTCAAAAGTCTAGTGATTTCTAAAAAGCATTTTTAAGTACAAGCTAACACATTTTCATTAAGAGATCAATGTACAACTAACATGCCAGTATTTCCCTGCCATAGATGACAATTGCCAGGTATTGGTTCCTAGTCTGATGTATAGTTCACTGAGCCATATGCTGCCCCACAACCAGAATTTCATCAGCACTTGAATTTCTCACAATGAGACCAAGAAAACCAGAGACAAAAAACAGTACAACCCACCTGAGTCTACACTGTCTACTTAAAAGCTGCTAAAATTAATAGACCTAAACAGATCCATTCCAAGACATTCTTTGGGAAAACCTTGAAGAGTTAGAAGGAAGGCAGAAAGAAGAAGAAAGGAGGATGCCTTGAGCTCAGAAATTCTTAAATGAACATTTCATTTTAAAGCTGAGCCATACTCCAAATTATATCAGTATTTAATAGCAACTAACTTAGAAGAAAAACTTCAACAGTTTCATTCCAACAGTTGGGTTTGTTTTAATAAGAATATCAATCTGTAGGTTACTATGGTCACTAAATGAGTAACCCCAAAGTACTCAGTCTCTTGCCAGCTGGCCCATAAATGATAGTGACGTATGACATACAGGCTGATATTTGCTAACCGTCACAGCTATAAATAATGAATGGAATCGACCAAAAAGTAAATAAATCCGAAACACTGTATGGTTGGCTCCAAAGGCAGTCATGATTCAATCTTGACACTATGTTCCTTAAAAACAGTTTCTTTAAAATACTTTTTAAAAAATATGCCAATTAACTGTAGCCATTTACAAGAATTTTTGTGTAAACGATTAATGATATGCTAAGTGTTAGTTAATTATCTGTCAGTCTTACTATTTTGTCCCAAAGCACCTCCCAAATATCAAAACAACACTGTCACTGTGTGAATGAGTTAGGCTTGGCTGAGGCTGGGCAACAGGCCTGGTGGCAGCACATGTAGCTATTTATCGATTTTGCTCTATGTGTAATGTCTGAATGCCAACAGATAGATTCAGCTCTTCCAGCCATCTGGTGTTTAAGTATGTAGTTACAAATGGTTGGTATTTTTAATACAAAAGAGAGTAAAAGGAACCTGGAACAAGGTAGTAATTACAAATCTAATAACAGTATTATGTGTGAAAGTACATGGTTATTATTTGGATGCTAGAAATGGAAACAAGACTTACCATTACCTGGCTGGGGTGTAAGTCTGTCTTCTTTCTCAATTTTTAATGTTTCTTCCTTGCTGTCAGCCAACTGGTCAGGTTCTGACTGTGCAAGGACTTGTTTTTCACAGTCTAAGATAGTTTGAACTTCGGAGGTATCTTTCAGAGAATCATCCTTCTCATTTTTGTTTTTATCCTGGCTATGGTTGAGGCTATCTATTTGCATAACAATTAAAATCAAAATTATTACAAAAATATAATAATTTACATTTAAAAGTAAAGTAAAAAGACTGTAACAGCTAGGTCTTATAAAAAGAAACAAAGTGAATAACGTTTATTCATATGTTCAAAACATTTATCAGGAGCCTACTATATATACCCAGTACTATTCTAGATGCTGAAGAGACAGCAGGAACAGGACAGAGAAATCCCTGCATTCTAGGCTCCATTATAAGTGGCAGAGATAGACAATAAAATAAACAAATACGAAAATAGTATATTTTCAGATAAAGAGAACACAACTAAGTTTTTTTTGTTTTTGTTTTTGTTTTTTTAAGTAAGAAGGTTTTGGAGAGCATTACTATAGCAAAAGTCATTAGGACCAAGCTCTAAGAGGAACTCCATTTGAGCTGAGAGCTGTTCATGAATCTAGAAAGCTTGGACTCAGGCCTATATTCTTGGTCTAAATATTCTAAATGTAACTGGAAGCCATTAAAGAGTTTTAGGCAAAGGAATAATAACAAACTAAGTTTTTAAAGGATCACTTTCGCTGTTGTGCACAGAAGGATCAGATTAATATGGAGGCTACTGAGTTATGGGAGAAAGATGGTGGCTTTAGAGTAGGATGGTAGCAATAAAAATAAAGTGCTTGGAATCAAGATTTATTTTGGAGGTTACTCGATGGGTTGAGTGTAGGAGGCAAGAAAGAGACCAAAGATACAGGCCAGGTTTTTAGCATGATGTAGTAAAGATCAGGGAGGAGATCTGGGTATTAGATGTGGCAGTCGTAGTAATATAAATCTAATATATTTTTATATACAGTAATATCACTGTTACTTAGAATATTTACTTCTCTCTAATCAGACTTTCGTATTCACAAAAGGTAGTTTTTATTTTTTTTAAGTTGCTTGACAGATTCCTTATTAAATCATGGGTCTAGAAATTTTCATTTTTGCTTTTGGTATCGCAAAGGAAAAATCAGAACTATAAAATCCATATTAAACTGATTTTTGTTGCTAAATCATTCAACTTATACATTTAATGTGAACTGACATTATTTTATAGTTACAACAGAGCTTATTTTTATTGCCTATAGCAGTTGGGAACTGCATGGAATCATGCTAATTGTGACAGAGATATTACATGAAATAAGCACACGATTCCAATTTAGTTCACAGACAACAGGTGCCCACATACAAATATAACCACCCAGATGGCAGACTTGTCAATTTTGGTAGGAGCACCCAGAAGTGAAAGAAGGAAGACTCAGCTTCTCCCTATATTTTCCTTCAAATCAAAATTAAGAAAGAGACGAGAGCAAGGCAAGAAAAAGGAATGGCAATATCAAAATTTATATCTTAGCTGCACCTTTGTCGATGCTAATATTTTGAAGAATTAATGTATGATGCAAAATCAGATGTGTACAATTATTAAAACTCATAAATTAAACGTATACTTCCAGTTTCCAAAACTGTCAACTTGGCATTTTTATTATTATAAAAATGCTCTCTAGAATTGGAAACAAGAATACTAATGATCTTTTTGTTATGACAACCATGGGTATTAATAATCATTTCGTAAAGTAAACATCAGAAAATGGTATCCCATGCTATAAAAACGTACTTGAGGTATATTTCTTATTTCTGACTTTAAAATATGTTTTAGAAAAGAATAAACTAAAAAAAGAAAAAGACACCAAATTGGTTCACAAATGAAGGCTGATCTATAGAGGAATTTTGATGCTTTGACAAGCAAAAACTATGGCACAATGTATACTGACTAGGCAAAGAAGCTACATTAGATTATTTTGCTATTTAAACATAAAAATAATCCATAATTTCCTTAAAAACATGTATTATCTACAGAAGAGAGAAAACAGCAGGTCTATGAGTATAAGGCCTATTTGCTACCATAGCAACAGAGCTTCTACTCCTGCCCACTGAATTCATATCCTGCTGACATTAATCAGAAACGTCCATTTGTGCCAAATTAATGCCGTATCACAGACGCTTGGGGATATACATTCTTGACAGAACCGGGAGCTTTTCACATTCCACAAGGGATAAATTCAGTCTTCACTATATGAAGCTCTTATTCCAGTTTGAAAGCTAAAGTTGTGCTGAGTCACACTAACGTTGGATAACAGCAGTCTCTAAAAGCACAGGTTATCTGAAGACACCACTAACAGCCCTTACCTCCATGGTCACCTTCTATATACTCACCAGCACTGCCTTGAGGATTCTCACACATTTCACAATAACGTAACACTGAATTATTGATATAGGTGCAGAAACTACATTGCCAGCCCTCTACAGGAAAGGTTGGGGTGGTTGACTGGGCCTTGGCCTCCTGGACACTTTCCATGAGTGGAGTTCTGATTTGTCTGGACTGAGATGGTGTTTCTTCTGAGGGACTGTAGTGGTCATCCGTGGTGACCAATTTCAATCTTTTAGTTTCAGGTTCAACATCACTTTCATGATCGATGATATCTCTTGCAGTTATTTTTGTAGGGTCTGATGACACTACAGTATTTTCCTCCTGGAAATTCTTTGATTCATAGCAGGAGGTCATCAACTGTCTTTTTTTAAGTTGTGGTAAAAAAAATGATCGAATATCATGCTGTTTCTCTTTTTCAAACTAGGAAAAGCAAACAGTAGTTATCAAAGAAACAATCTAATATGTTCTTCTTAAATGAAAGAGCTTAACAAAATATTTTAATTAACCATATTGCCTTATCCCTTGAATACCTTTTTGGAAATGAATTCATTATGCTCTGACCCTTCATATATCTCTGTCTATATAGGTATATATATGTAAAACATATCCATGTACTTCCCATGTCTAACTTTTTCCTTAGCACTTACTGTGTGTCAAACACTTTACATATATTAAGTTATTTAATCCTCATGTCAGCTGTGAGGTCAGCACTATTATTATTATCACATTTCAAATTAGGAAACTGAAGCTTTAGAGAGGTAAGATAACTTGGTTAGAGAGGTTATATAACAAAAACATACTTAATATGTTACCCTGGATGTATGTCAGGAAAAAAAGGCAGTTATGTATTTGAATATTTCAGGTCAATCAAGGACCTAAAAAAATGCTTTCACACTCAAATTAATAAACACAATGTTCACAAATAATGTTATTCATGTGAAAATGTTTTCTTGACCAGGAAGCATTCTTCAAACAGCACAAAGGCTGTTAATCAGGCTGGGTGTGGTGGCTCATGCCTGCAATCCTAGAACTTTCGGAAGCCAAGACGTCAAGATTGCTTGAGCTCAGGAGTTCAAGACCAGCCTGGGCAACATACTGAAATCCTGTCTCTACAAAAAATAAAAAATAATAAACCCCAAAACAAAAATTAGCCAGGAGTGGTGGCGTGCACCTGTAGTCCCAGCTACTTGGGAAGCTGAGGTGGGATGATTGCTGGAGCCTGAGAGGTTGAGGACTGGGACTACAGGTGCACACCACAACACCTGGCTAATTTTTGTATTATTAGTAGAGACGGGGTTTTACCATGTTAGCCAGGCTGGTATCAAGCTCCTGACCTCACGTGATGCACGGGCCCCGGCCTCCCAAAGTGCTGGGATTATACGCATGAGCCACCACGCTTGGCCAATGCTGTGTGAATTCTGAGACTAGGTCATTGAAGGTAATATGGCTTCCACTTGGCTGGCCCTCTGTCCCTCCCTTTCTTTCTCTCTTGGGACACTTGCCTTCGGAAGTGCCCACCATTGGTGTGAGGAAACCCAGGCCACATGGAGAAATCCTGCGGTGTTCCAGTTGACTGCCCCAGAAAAACCCCCAGGTAAGAGACAGCACCAACTGCCAGACATGTGAGTGAACAAGCCCTCAGAGAAGTTTCAGTCCCTAGCCTGGGGTGTTTTCCAGCAAAAGCCACAGTCATCCTGGAGGAGACATGTCATCCCTGTTGTACGCTGGTTGAATTCTGCACCCATAGAAACTGTAAGAAATGATATATGGCTATTGTTGTCTTAAGACACCAAGTTTTGGAGCAATTTGTTATGCAGTAATAGATAACTAAGACAGACACTGTAGATAATGATAACAAAATACCATATATTATAAATAATATTTTACATAATGATTATCAGTACGTCTTAGTGGTACTGCATAAGACAGAATTATAAAATTCATAGAAACATCTCAAATTATTGCTGTAAAAAAAATAAAATAAAATTCATAGAAACAGAAAGATTAGTGGTTTCCAGAGGCTAGAGGACAAGAAGAAATGGAAAGTGATTGCTAAATGATTATAGAACCTCTGGGGTAATGGAAAATCTTTGGAAACACTGGTGGAGGGTGCACAATACTGTGAATGTAATGCCACTAACTGTACACTTAAAAATGGTTAAAATGGCAAATTTTATGTTACCACAGTATAAAAATTTGCAACAAAAAAAGGAAGCAAAAAAATAAGGAAGGAAAATTTAGGAAATTAAATTAGTAAAATTAAAACATGTCATAATAGGGAAAAAGCGCTCCCCTACCCCTCTACTTCCCATAATGTAGAACTCTTTTTTTGCTTGACTGTTAATTTATACATTTTACATACTATAAAAAGTTATCTAATTAGTTGCAGAAATATACGTAATTCAGATAAAGACAAAGAATGAAATCATTAACCACGAGACATCATTTTTAGAACAATGCAAAAGGGAAATTCTAAAAAAAAAGAAAAAGAGAAAGGGTGGGCCGAGTGCGGTGGTTCACACTTGTAATCCCAGCACTCTGGGAGGCCGAGGCAGGCGGATCATAAGGTTAGGAGTTTGAGATCATCCTGGCCAACACGGTGAAAACCTGTCTCTACTAATAATACAAAAATTAGCCGGGCATGGTGGTACACACACCTGTAGTCCCAGCTGCTTGGGAGACTGAGGCAGAAGAACTGCTTGAACCAGGAAGGCAGAGGTTGCAGTGAGCCGAAATTGCGTCACTGCACTCCAGACTGGGTGACAGAGTGAGACTCTGTCTTACTAAAAAAAAAAAAAAAAAAAAGCAGGGGAGGGTGGAAGAAAGCAGAGAGATTAATTGGCTGTGGCTGGTGAAGTCTGGTGTTTTTTTTTTTCTAAAAAGTAACAGGCTGAGTATAGTAGCTCGTGCCTGTACTCCAGTATGTCGGGAGGCCAAGGCAGAAGGATTGTTTGAGACCAGCCTGGGCAACATAGCAAGATCTTGTCTTTACAAAAAATAGAAAAATTAGCCAGGTGTGGTAGTGCATGCCTGTAGTCCTAGCTACTTAGGAGGCTGAGGAAGGAGAATTACTTGAGTTCAGGAGTTCTACACCAGTCTGGGCAACATGGAAAGACCCTGTCTCTTAAAAAACGTAACAAAGAAACAGAAATAATTAAATATTTAAAGAAAATACTCTATTCTATACAATAAAACTGCAAAAAGAACTTGCAGAATTTTGAAAATACTAGCAAATGTTAAGCAAACATGAACAAACTCTATCAGCTATTTCTAGTTAAACCATACTGTTTTTCCACAAGAGGTAAACTTTCTGTCCTTGCCTATTTAGAAATGAGTTGATTTTGTCCTCATCCTTATTCAGTAGTTTTGCTGGACATACGATTCTCCTCAAATCCTTCCTTTGTGAGACAGGGTCTTGCTCTGTCACCCAGGATGGAGTGCAGTGGTGCAATTACAGCTTACTGGAGTCTCAACCTCCTGGGTTTAAGCAATCCTCCCACCTCAGCCTCCTGAGTAGCTGGGACTGCAGGAGCATGCCACCATGCCTGGCTAATTTTTGTGTTTTTTTGTAGAGACGGAGTTTCAACATGTTGCCCAGATTGGACCTGAACTGTTGAGCTCAAGCAATCCACCTGTCTTGGCCTCCCAAAATGGTGGAATTACAGGCATGAGCCACCATGCCTGACCTCTCAAATCCTTAAAGGTATTGTTCTGTTTTCTCCCAACATCTGATGATGCTGCAGATGTTCCTTTGTAGGCTGCACATTTTTGCTTTCTTTTAGAGGTCTTCAGGAACTTTTATTTCTGGTGTCTTAAAATATCACAGTGATCTACCTCTATATAATCTATATTTATATGCCTTAAAAAATTCTGCTCAGCATCCAAGATACCTTATTAATTTTGAATACTATTATCTTTACCTTTTAAAAATTTATATTATTCTTTGCTAGTTCCTTCCTCTTAATTTTCTCTTTTCTCTTTTTCTGGCATTCCTATTAGTAGAATGTTGGACTTATACATTTATGTCTTAAATTTTACTCTAGGCCGGGCGCGGTGGCTCAAGCCTGTAATCCCAGCACTTTGGGAGGCTGAGGCGGGTAGATCACGAGGTCAAGAGATCGAGACCATCCTGGTCAACATGGTTAAACCCCGTCTCTACTAAAAATACAAAAAATTAGCTGGGCATGGTGGTGCGTGCCTGTAATCCCAGCTACTCAGGAGGCTGAGGAAGGAGAATTGCCTGAACCCAGGAGGCGGACGTTGCAGTGAGCCGAGATCGCGCCATTGCACTCCAGCCTGGGTAACATGAGTGAAACTCCGTCTA